TGCACTTGCAAAATCTTGTTGATAGGGGAGGAGATGCATGAGCAACAAAAGTTTTAAGCAAGTGTGGAGACAACCTCAAATTTCATGTGAAGCAACATTACATAGCCCACAAGGCAAATTATAAAATGCTGAAACTCAAGTTAGAAATGAATCAACTACACTGATACTTGGGACTTGTTTAGGCAAGTCACAACCATTAAAACCAAAGCTAGCATTTTAGAGACTTACAAGTGACATGCAATATAAGATTTTGTTGCAAAAGAAGGCTTCAAAATATGAAGTCTTTTGGCTGCTTTAAAATGAAACTCTACTTTGTGTGACCCAAGGGGTAATTTATGCGCCAGTCTATATGAACACAAGCCCCCAAAATACAGTGCCCTGCACCTGTTGCCTTGGATGACTTCAGAACTTGATCATGTGACTAACTGGGCTAAGTGCTACAGAAGTGATCAAGAGAAAGGAAGGAACCGTGCTTTGTAGCAGCAGTGTGGTCTTGTGACCCTCCGAAGTCAGACTGACATGGCAGCTCTTAAATTTGCTGCACCAAATGTGCTCTCAAAGAATTTTTTTTCAAATCTGTTGGGGCTATTTTTGCTTGCCTTGCCTGAAACATCCCATCACATTCTGAATGTACTCCGCAAAGGAGGCCCTCATCATGTTTCATAGGTTTTTGGGGTTTTTTTTAGATGACCGGCTTCTTGCTGTCTGAGCCATTAAAGTACAGCTTTCATCTAAAGACTTAAGACTGATTCCTTTCTGTGTGGGCAGTGATGATACTAGAGAGACTCTCTCAATCGGAGGTCCCCAAACTGGGGCATGGAGGAAAGTTTGTGTGGGGGACAGGGACCAGGCCACCCACCACAGAAGGGTGGGAAAGGAGCACCATCTAGCTGTACTTTGCCCCCAGTTCTGCTGCAGCCTGGCTCCTGATCCCAGTTCTGCTCCAGGCCCCAAAGTGCAGTCCAGTCATGGATCCCATGCCCAACCTCGGCTACCCTTCTCCCTGTCCATGCCCTCTTTCCTCCCAAGAAAGTCTGGCCCTGCTGCCAACAGAGTGGGGGGGGGGGGGGGTAAGAGGGAGTTACGGATCAGTGACCATGAAAAGTTTAGGGACCTGTGCTATAGGTAGTATGAAGTGGGGTAAAGGGATCTTTGGGGAGAAGTGAAACCAAGTGCACAGTGCAGGGGGAAAAGGGGTAAGAAGGCTATGCCCAGGAAGAAAGCCATCCACAATCCTGTATTGGAAAGGATGGTAAATAGTTATGAAATGGGACTTCATGGACCTACTCATACAGTACCTCAAAACTATGACAAGTCTCCATTTTTTTTTTTAAGCAACTGACAGGACAAACAGTTTTGTTGAGACTGAAAACATGAAGCATTAATAGCTTGAAAAATTGGTGACTTAAACAGCCACTGACAGCATCATAAAGACAATTTTTAGGTTGACTCTTAATTGCCAGATGCAGCAGCCTTCAAATGATAAAGTAAATATAGCTTGAGAATTACTCTGAAGAGCCAGTTGGCTTCTCTGACCATAGCTTAACTCCCAGAAAATCTTAGATATAAATGGAATCTGTAAACTTATCTCAGTTGAGTCCATTAGTAAAATTCAACATACAACACACTTCTGTAATGGCAAGTCTTCCTGCATGATCAGTTCAAATGAGCAAAGGAGAGTTTGCAATAGTCTCTTAAAAATCAACTTAACTTAACGAAAGTGTCTTCGTTGGAGTTGCTGAACTTGTATGTGAAACTGTATTTGAGACTGAGTACCTCTTATTCATTGGTTCAGTATATAGTAGCCCAATATCTGTGACTCTGTAACGCTGAAACGCTGGCCGTTGCCTCCCACCGTGGCTCTCGGCTGACTTCTGCGCCACTCCGCCAGGCCGCCGCGGGGGAGCAAGCGGCGCAAGCAGCCATTTGGCGCCGCAGTCCCAAACGGGGAGCTTGTGCCGCTTGTTCCCCTGCAGTGGCCTGGCTAAGTGGCGCAGAAGTCAGCTGAGTGCCATGGCGGGAGGCAGAGGAGGGGCAGAGCGGTGACAGCGGCTCCAGGCCCCGCCCCCAGCCGTGATCCTCACTGCCCCGGCCCCCTTCGCCTCCCTCAGTGGTGCTTGGCTGACTTCTGCGCCCCTCAGCCAGGCTGTTGCGTGGTAGCAAGTGGCAGCAGCTGTCCCCTGACTGAGAGGCAGGAGGGGGAGGAGAGCTGAGAGAGAGGGGAGGCAGGAGGGGGGGGGGCGGGGAGAGAGATGGAGCGAGAGACTGGAGGCTCAAGAGAGAAGACTGATGTGGAAGAGAGACCTGAAAATCCTGTCTTATGAAGGGCTAATTGGCTAGTTGGCTCAATAATGAGTGTGCAGGTGTAAAGGAGCATTATTCTATAATAAAATGGCATAAGGCCTGGCATTGAAGTTGATCATTATTTTTGGAAGTTGCCTCACTAACCATCTTTTAAAAAATTAGGATGCAGTTTTTATAACTCTAAGAGTACAGAACAGTTTAGCTACTTAATGAATCAGGTTATGGAAAGATGCTATTGGGAAAGATTGCATAGCTCACAGTAATAAGAACTTTCACATCTGAGACATGTCCCAAGAGTCACCTGATTTTTGTCTGATTATAGTGGATACTGACCCATTTCACAAACCTATCGCTAGTACTTGAGTAGAGACCTGTCTGGAAGAAAACACACAGAGAAACTCCTAGTTGAAGTTGAGGCAAAATAGCTTGGAAGAAATCTGCACTGCTTCCAACTGTGTGGTGGTGGGGTTTTTCCCCAAATTTTTGGTACCATGTAAAAGAGCTGTTTTGGCCAACATGGGCAACACTATAGATACAAGTAGAAATTATATCAATTTTTTAATGTGTTATCAAACTTCATGATACTATATATTTTTGTTAGTCTCTAAAGGTGCTACAGCACCACTTGGTTTTTCTGTAGGACAATGGTCATTAGCTAATGTGTAATAGTATGAAGATTCTCAAACCTTGGGCCACACTGAAATCCTCACTTGCTGTCTTGCGTATTTGACACACCCCATTCTCAACACTGAGTACTATAGAAATTATGCAATTTGTTTCCCAGGAGGCTCATAAAGCTGTGCAGGTTCTTCCAGTTGCCATCTTATCACTGTGGGGAGTTGAAGCATGTGTGAGATGAAAGCCAGTCCCACTGGAGTTGATATCCTCTGTATATATTGCCCAATTGAGTGTGTTATGCAGTTCAGGCAAAATACCTATTCCAAAGTGGTGCACACCACAGTAAATAGTAAGTTCCATCAGAAGACATGCTTGCATGGTTTTTCTTTCAGAGCACTGTAAGTAAGATATTTGGTACTTCATATGGCTCAATGTAAGCAAAGCATTTTTTCTCTGGTTTAGCTTCACATGCTTCCTTCCTAAACATTCATTCTTCAACTTTGAATGAAACCTTTCAAAGAAGCCGGAGGGAATGAGTGTGAAATTCATACTTGGAAATGAAAATTAATAGGCCTCAATTCAAAAATTAATGGTATCAGTTGTTTTCTGGTACTTCAGCTATAAAGTTTGTCCTCAGATGAGGACAAGAGTAAGTTTTTGATAGCCTTGTACTGTAAACAGTGTCAATAGTCACTGCGTATACATGATTGTATGCTTTAAACATTCTCTCCTTTATTGTGATAAGATCTAATACGAACTCTCTTCTATTCAGTCAGGTCAATTCAGTGAGGATATGATTCCTACAGTGGGATTCAACATGAGAAAAGTTACTAAGGGTAATGTGACAATAAAGGTATGTCAAGAACATTCTGCTCTTTGTGGGGGCAAAAGTGCTGAATAGCTTTTAAAGGGATGCGCTCAGATTAAGTCACTGTCTGAAGTGAGCTCAGATTGACTTGAGAGAACTAAATTGTTTCATCAGTCCAGCTTAGTTTTTGTTTTACCATCAGTCAGGCCAAACCTGAATAAGTCTGTTTTGCTTGGTGGTTCTTAGTCACTAGTGTAATGCTGCTTGTCTGTTGCAAACATCATAAGGCAATTTCTAATTGAGTTTTCTTCCTCAAGCATTTAAAAATGCATGCATAATCAAACTGGAACCATTGGTTAAACTTCAGGTTTAAAACCCCCCTGAAATGTTCAGCTGATATATCATGTGACTATATTCAGTTGTTTTCCACTGGGTCAGTAGGAATAACTTATTACATATTCTTGTGTAACAAATTTAGAACATAAGAATGGCCACATGGGTCAGACCAAAGGTCCCTTTAGCACAGTGTCCTGTTGTTGGATTTTAAATGCTGGCTTATTTCCATGCAGTATTCAACTCTGTATTTAAAATGAGAAATGTGGCAGAATATACAGATGAAACAATGGACCCACTAAATTCTCAGGAAAACAGTTTGACATGAGTATGTAAAACCCTGTTAAACTTAATGTTTAACTTGTTAACCAATTTAACTAGTTAACTGATGGGATGGCATACTCCTTCGACCCGCCTCCCCAAAGTGCTGTGGACAAGGCTGTTCCAGCTCGGCAGGAGTAGCCCCTTGCCCATGGTGGGAAGAAGCTGCTCCAGCCTCTACTGGTTAAGCCTTCTGTGTTAAGGGTGAGGCTTACTGGTTAACCATTAATATCCCTAGTTTGAAACAGGATCTAAATGCCCTTGTTTAAGAATAAAATTCTTATTTCATTCTGAAGACAAGAATTTCGTATTCGGAGTGAAAAAGCTCACTAGTTCCTCAAATGAGCAAAGGAAGTGAGAAGACGCCCTTCAATAAATGTGTATTTAACACTTGAGAACCCAACATGCCACTGTTCCCAAGCTAGCAGAAAAGGGCAACTTCTCCATTTACATTCAGAATACTCCATGTTCCTGACTGGTTTAGATCACCCTTATCCACATCCGAAGTTACAAGATGACTGCCTCAATATGATGCTGTTATGCTTATGTTTTCTTGCATCTAAAATACTTTTGCACATGTAGTTGTATCTGGCTCACTTTCTAAAGTTTTAGCCCCACTTCTGAGGGACGCTTCTGTTTCTGCTTGGATGCCATATACAATTGACAGAATTTTCCTTTGTCCTAGTTCTTCAATTTACAGATAACCACTGTCATGGCTCCTTCCCCACTCTGGCATGATAAATGCAGAAGTGGGGGCCAGTAAGTGTACCCCAAAGCCTTATCTACCAGGCTTTGGTATAAAACTTGCCCCAAAATCTTAAAAACCTAGATTTTGGGAATAACTTCCGCTGCCACCACCCAAATGCTGATAAAGAAATCAGTGGGAAGATCATTTGGGAAATCTTACCCCTAAGATAAAAATCAAGGCACACAGTTAACCACTGCCATGTTAATAAAAAGAAAAGAAAGAACTTTTATTATTACAACAATATTCCTGTTGCAAACATAATGACTAGATAGGGAGGTAACAAAATATACTCATGGAGAAACTCCATGGGCCTAGAACTTAGTTACAAAGAAAAGCCAAAACATCTTTTAAGCAGTGCCAGATCTCAGATCCCATACCCAATCCTTAAAATAATAAAACCTAACGAAACTACCTAACCTTTACCCTACTTACAGAAAATGAAGAATGGTGTCTTGGAGAGAGAGAGAGACATGCTTGTCCCTCTCTGTAGCTGCAGAGAACTCTCTCAGACACAGAAGGGAGAAAGGAGAAACAAAACCCCAAATCCTTTGTCCCAGTTTGAAAAGTCCCACCTACATTCCTATTGGTCACTCCACCTGGCTAGGTGTAGTTAACCCCTTAATCCCCAGGCTGCTGGCTAACCCTCATAATCATGACAACCACGTCAAAATACTTTTTCTGAAAGGGTATGGTTACATCCAAAGCTGTGCACTGAAGAGACCATATGGGCCACATAACACTTGAATAGAGAGATGCCTCAGTACATATCTGTAATGTCAAATTAGACTTTTCAAACTTAATAAACAAATATGTCTGCAACCTTTCCTGCTTCCCTTAACCATACCACTGCAATGGTACCTATAGAGTGGAGCTATAACTGTTAAAAGATCAAGTCATTTCCATTTTAATTTTGGAAAAAGATCTTGCTTTTTACATAACTAACATTGTAAAGTTTGCTGTCCATCTCTGGCACTGTAAAGGAAACATCCTGGTTTCTAGTGTTGTGTATACTCTGCTGATGGAGCAGAAACAGACTAGCTTGGATTAATGTGACTTTCAGAGGGTTGAAGCTTCTGACAGCCTCTTGATATAATGTCCTGATCAAATTATTTCAACCTCCAGGAACAAGTGTGTAGCATAGAGCTGAAATGTTTTTGGCCATAAGTGTGTGGCTTACATGTACATACAACTTACTGCAGACATAAGTATGCACAAGAGTATTCTAACTCGTGTGTGTTGGGTTTTTTTATTTTTTTATTCAACACTGTCAACTGACCAATTGCACTTAATACATTCCAACTTACAACCCTGGCCTAGTCTTCCTTTCTCATTATTGATGCTCTGACTCCTCCCTGTGCCCTGATTGAGAAATCTGCAAATTTCAAAGCAGGCTGGTTTAGTTGCAGCTGACTCATCAAGTTGCCCATAACTTTCTACCCCAGGTCATACTGGCTGCTTATACTAGAAGTGGACTTAACAGTTTTCCCAGCATAGATACATTATCATGATGCCTTTAAAAACTCAGGAAATGCAACTTAGTCTTAAATCAGAAGCCCAATTTTGTCCCCAAATTTCTGTAATCATCATAGTACAGATTCATGGATGGAAATGGCCCCTGCTTGAAGGCACACATGATATAAAGCACAACTCAGATGTGAAATGCAGATGTCATGGGGCTTTTCAGCTTTTTGTATTACTCTTCAACTTCTAAAATTGTTACATTTACAGGCACTAGCACACAAATACAGGCAGTCCCCGAGTTACGCGGATCCGACTTATGTCGGATCCGCAGTTACGAACGGGGCCCGTCTCCCTGGTCTCCAGCAGACCAGGGAGAGGAAGCAAAGCGGCGGAGCACGCGGGCAGCAGACAGCCCAGACGCGTCTGGGCTGTCTGCTGCCCGTGTGTTCTGCCGCTTTGCTCCCCGTCCCCCTGGTCTGCAGACCAGGGGGACGGGGAGCAAAGCGGCAGAACACACGGGCAGCAGACAGCCCAGACGCGTCTGGGCTGTCTGCTGCCCGTGTGTTCTGCCGCTTTGCTCCCCGTCCCCCTGGTCTGCAGACCAGGGGGACGGGGAGCAAAGCAGACCATAGCCGCGGAGCCCGAGGGCAGCAGGACAGCCACGGCGCGTCTGGGCTGTCCCGCTGCCCCCGTGCTCCGCGGCTTTGCTCCGGACGCCTGTGGTACAGCAGCTGGGGCGCAGCCGGTTGGTCCCGTAGCGCCGCTCTGGGCACTACTGGACCAACCCGGCAGCACCCCAGCTGCTCTGCCCCAGGCGTCCCCAAGTCAGCCGCTGCTGAAACTGACCAGTGGCTGACTACAGGAAGCCCCTACCCCAGGCTTCCTGTAGTCAGCCGCTGATCAGTTTCAGCAGTGGCTGAATCTGGATGCCAGTTCCGACTTACATACAGATTCAACTTAAGAACAAATCTACAGTCCCTATCTTGTACGTAACCCGGGGACTGCCTGTATCAGAAACACAACTATGGAAACACTATGAAATATTCCACAGAAAACTAGGGATTTAAAATGTTAAACTATGTTTAACTGGCCTGCCGGGAAGGGGGTTGCTCCAGTTAGGGTAAATGCTGGTTACCCGTTAGGGATTTAAAGTAGTATTACCTCCACTTAGTCTGTGTGGCTCAAGGGTCTAGTACATAGTTAACTTTTAACTGAGAAATATCTTGTGAAATTCTTGTAAATTGGTCTGTAGACTTGCAAAGTTTAATCACGTGAGTTGGTGTATGACTTTCTCTTACATATTCTGGTGTAAAAGCATTTAACCTTGGGAGGCACAACTTGAAAGTAACCTTTCCTCTTGATATGCTCAAGTTCCTTTCGTCAGTCCTCCATGAGATACATGCAACTGACTTCAGCATGTATGCTGAGTGCACAGTTGCATACTCTCTTGCATGGTTATGAAATATGAAGACAGTGTCTTTTCTTGTTTTGTATTGCCTAGCACATAGCAAACGTTTTCTAACTTTGAAAGCTCAACGCTTAAAGATTCACAGATGTAACATTTATATTTTTACTTGGTATTTTAGAGTAAGTGACACTGGTGACTAGGTGTAGGACTTTGTGCCATTATAATGGACATAGCCTTCCTATAAACGCTGCTGAGAAGACATAAGGATCAAATACTTTAAGCACTTCCCCTATTCAATAGTTCTCTTATACTGTGCTTTTAATGTGTTAAAATTTTGACTTGACTCAGTGCTTGGCTAAACTTTTTTCCTTTTAAAAAAAGATCTGGGATATAGGAGGGCAGCCGCGATTCCGAAGCATGTGGGAGCGATATTGCAGAGGTGTTAATGCTATTGTGTAAGTATAATGCATGTCAGGCTGCTTTTAACTGCTATTGAGTTTTCTTCTTTGCAGTTAAGAAATGAGCCTTAGGTTTACACTTGAATTTGCAAACTGTTTGGTTAAATCTACGTCTTTTGTCGCCATTCCAACTTGGCTTTGAATGGTATTGGAAAACTTGAGCCAGATAGCTTGTTCATGTAATTTTGCACCTAATATATTAACCTCTTGACATCAGAAGTTCTTTGCATGTTCTCTGTAACGGTCTATAGTCGGACTGCCCCGAATCTGGTATATTTGACACCGGAGAGGTTATTCAACTCTATCTGGCTAACGAGTATTTGGGGTTATTGCCCCTCTGCAGGAAGTGTGAATTTATTCAAACAGATTGTCCTGTTTGAATAAGTTCCAATGAACTTAATGACATAAGTAGGTTTATAACTGAATTTCCTACATCTTTTTAAAGATATATGGTAGATGCGGCAGATCGTGAAAAGATAGAAGCTTCTCGAAATGAGCTGCATAACCTTCTAGACAAACCACAGTTACAAGGCATCCCTGTAAGTAGTATAATCTGGTTCTGACATTGCATGTTTGGTATCTGAGAAATGGTAACTGCAGTAATATCTTATATTGAACCAACTTCTATGGTGGATGCTACAAGCTGCAAGTTTGATCCCTATCTGCTAGTTGGGATTTAGGCACTGTGTAAAACCATCGGACCGGCTATGATGCTCAACTCTTGGAAAGGTACTGATCGTTATATGGTGTGCCTCATCCAGTTCATTAAACGCCTCAATCACTATCTGTAGGTGAACCCCAGAGAATCCTGTGTTCTCAAATGAACTCTCAGAAAAATTATGTAAGCGGAAAAACACTATCACAAACTTATCACTTGATACCTGGTCTTGAAGTACTTGTCCTCAAAAGCTGCACAACATACTCAAAAGGTGAGCTAGGGGATATAACTTTAAGTTGCTAGAAACCAAAAAAAATGCACTGAACAGGGACACTAGTTTTATGGCTCATGGTGACAATTGGTGTAACACCACACTGCCTGCTGTCCCTAAATTGTCCATCTCAAGTGAGTTTCTCCAACTTGTTAACCATTCTGCTTAACAATCTGTCCTAAATTGTATATTCCCTCAGACACTCTACTTCCTCCTCCAGATCTGGGGAAGAATTGTATGGTTTGTACTATCACTAACAGAAATTGGTCCAATAAAAGCTATTGCATCACGTACCTTGTGCGTGTCTCATCTTGGAACCAACTTACAACATTACATTTTAAGTAGCACATGAATTTGTGTGCAACTTAAGTAAAGTCAAACCAAATGTATAGAATAATACTTAGGTTAAGGTTGGTTCTTCAGGGTCAAGTTATCTGCTTAAACAGTTCTATGTAAACTAATACCCTACAATGCTTATTCTAGCACATCACTTGGCATTTTTATAATGCACCTATCCCATGGTTTAGGCACATCTTTCTCAATGCTGTATGAATTGTCTTGTTTAGTACCTACAAGTAAATCATTTAAGGCACAGGACAGGTTTACTGTGTACAGCACCTAAAACAATGGGGACATATGTGGTTCAGACCTCTAGATGTTTACTGTCATTGTGTGTTAGCTATAAATTACCAACATGGTGCAAAGCATAATCCACATTTATATTGAGAAACCCAAGCAGAGGTCTGGGAAACTTGGTACAAAGGTAAACCCAGTAGCCCTATAGGTAAGCCATAAGAAGAATCCACTCCAATTCAAAAATGAAGGGTAAGGGGTGTAGGATAGCAGACCTCCAAGAACAAGGAGCCCTAAAGCACAGGAAACTGAAATAGGACCTGCTGATTAGAGATGTTAGTGGGTAATAGAATACAGCTTCTCTCCGAGTTACAGACCAAACACTTGGCCGTAACTCGGACCCCATTGAGTTATGAACAGCGTGGTTGCATGTAAGCGCGGGTCACGTTCGTAACTCAGGGATCACCTTTATGACTGCTCCTTGGGAGCTTCGGTTGTAAGTGTGAATGGTTGTAACTCGACCGTTCGCAACTCGGGGAGCGGCTGTAGTTGACTCACGAAGCATGAATTCTTAGCTGTTACTTGACTACTTTATAGTCCCCAGAGGTGGGGCCGGCAGCCAGTGGGCTCTGGCCCCTCTCCTGCAGAACCCCGTGCGTGCCTCCTTCTGTATCAGAGGCAGCAGAGCAGGGTGCCAGGCAGGAGCCTGTCCACGAGGGGAGCCAGTTTAAAAACCAGTTCCCCTTGCAGACTGGCTGCCTGACACACTGCTGCCTCCAATACAAAGGCAGCAGTGTGGGGTGGCGGCAGCAGCCTCTGTCTGTGGTGAGCCTTCAGCCTTCGCTGGGTCTCACGCCCCTCTCCCCCACTCCCCCATTTCGGCGCGCACACTGCTGCCTCTGATAGAGGCAGCCATGTTGGGGGAGGTGGAGGCAGGTGGCACTGTGGCAGAGGCAGCAAGGGGGAATACAAGTAGTTGATGACACTAATCATAAGCCTAGGCTTATCAGTTAATTGTCTAGTCAACTACTCATTCACATTCCTACTACTGATTGTCTGAAAGACTTGAGTGGACCTCTGGAAGGGGCTCTCCTAATCTTGCCTTGAGGATTCTGTTTTGATCTTGGCATTCTAATAGCTGAGACACTGATTAAAATAGAGGGGAGGTGCAAATGCTCAAATCCAACTTACTAAATGATCTCTATAATACTTTGAAAGTGACACAGACCAAAAAATAAAATATACATCCCTACTTGATCACTGCCTGTGCTTGGGAGCAATGTTGCAATGCTTATCATTGTTGCTTATATCAACTATTTTAGGTTCTAGTACTTGGAAACAAGAGAGACCTTCCTAATGCTCTGGATGAGAAGCAGCTAATTGAAAAGATGTAAGTCTCAAAGAAAATGTAACTAATGGAGTCTTGCTAAATTAAATCCTTATGGATGGATGTCTTGTGTTGATTGCTTGAAACACTTGAAGCCAGCTTGCATACGGTAGATTAAGTGATAGAGGTTGTATCTCTAAAATCCAGAACTCTGGTCTTATTGCTGGACCAGAGAGCCCCTGCTGGCCAGGTTCAGAAGTGCAGGCCCAAGCAAGACGCAGCGTGGAGTGCAGCCCTGGCTGGGACTGGAGACAGTGGGGCCAGTGGCTGGGCATCCAGCCCTTGTTGTGGATGGAGGCAGCAGGGCCAAATCCTGGCTGGTGCTGTGGGGGACTGGAGGCAATGGGGTGGTAGCAGGGAATGAAGCCCCAGCCAGGTGAGGAGCTTTAACCTCCCCAGATCAGGCAAACTCTGTGGTTTGGGACCACTCTGATCCCGGGGGTGCTGGACCAGGGAGATCCCATCTGTAGTGTCTTGGGAATGTTTTAAATGACTAATGTAGAATGAGATCATACTTTGTATTATCACCAAATGTTACTATGCCTCCTCTCTTTCAGGAATCTGGCTGCTATTCAGGACAGAGAAATTTGCTGCTATTCAATTTCTTGCAAAGAAAAGGATAATATAGGTAATATTTAACCCAAAAATGCCAATGAGACATTTGTTATACTGGAAGTGTACACACGCTTTCTATCCTCTTATCTGTGTTGGATATAGGCAATGTACTGAATCTGAAAGTACCCTACAGTATCAAGGGATACTAACTTCCTCAGGGTCATTCTAAGGCAAATAATTGTATGCCACTTAAAAGGCGTTAAGCCTTCAAGTTCAGCAGTCCTTTATAGTACTTGTGTTCAAGAAGTGAAATGAAGTTTATTGCATTACTTCAGCTAGCCTGTTTACAAGCTCCAAACTGCGAATTAGGCTAAAATACTGTTCTGTAAATTACAGTAGTTCATATATTAAATGAATCTTTCAGATAAGTTCTTTTCATGAACTTTGTAGGTTTTAGTACTGAGGGAACTGGTTTCATGAACATTTTTATCGATGATTTTGTCAGAAAATGAAGCACATGAACGTGTGAAGACTAAAATTCCTTATTGCATAACAAATATCATTTGTTCAGTTTCTTTTCCTTCTGGGTAAAATACATCCAAGGGATGCTTGGACAAACAGAGGGAGAAGTGTGCAATATACTTTGGTGGGTAACAATGTTAAGTGTTCTACCTACTCGAAGTTCAGCTGGTTGATGCTAGAGCGTGCATGACCTTAACTGATTGCTGCTGCTACTCATACAGGGCTGTTGCCTTGCCAAGATCTGGAGGAAGTTATATTTTCATATGGTGCCTTGACTATACTTGTTAACTCATTTACCATTCTGGGTGACAGCTGCCCGCTATATAAAAAGATGTTCCTGTAGAGAACAACTCTTATCATTGCTGGTTTATAAGTTACCACTTCAAATGGCTGTAGCTAAACTTTATTTTCAAACCACATTTTGTGGAGTCAGTCCTTCCAACCAGGTTTTCGACATAAAGATGTTAATGTCAAACCAATAAATTAGGTGTCCCGGCTTGGTATTTCTGGCTGTTCGTACCTGTGCATCTTCCTATGCTTGAATCAGTCCTCTGATTGCTCAGGGAACTGACATAAGAATCCTCTTGGATTTTCCTCTCGCTCCCTGTTTACAACTATTGGAACTATGACCACATGTGAGCCTATAATATCTGCCTAAATCTATAAAGACAAAGTACCTGAAAGTCTCCTGAATTACAAGTCTTGTGTTGGTGAATATGAGCAAGTACCTATCATCTCTGTCCTGGGTCATTCCATAACACAGATGAAAACCATTGAGTGAAGCTTGCTCAACGGGCAGCAGTTGGCCATAGTACACTCTGCTTCCTTACACAAGCTTCTCCCTTTTGCTGCTCTTAAGATTAAAAAGCCAGAAAGCTAAAACAATGTTGAGCACCTGCCCGAAATGTACTAGTTCCATGTCTTTCACTAACTTTTTGCTCTCATGCCCAGACTAGTTCTCCTTCCCCGTCCTCCCTTAGTGACTAATTGAGTAGTGGATGGAAATTCCATTGACTAATCAATTAGCTGATTACAAGAAATTAACATCCTTAGATGAGGCACCTGGAAGCATTTAAAAGTAGAGAGAGAGGGGGGAGGAGGGAAAGATTTTGTTATGTACACACTGTAGTCCATGTGGATGATGAATGTTTTCTAACATTCTAATACATCCTGCTTGCTGTGATCACTATAGTGCTTTAGGCAGTTGGATAAACTTTCTCTCTGCCTTTCCTGGAGGCTTCATAGTCTTTCTGTAACTGACCAGCTGGCCAGAATTTATCCCCTCCATTTGTTTTTTCCATATTTACAGATTGCTTGGTGTAGGATTTCTGTAAACAGTTGCATGAAATCATGGTGAAAACTGGCAGTTATTCCAAATTTGAATAATAAACTCTGGATTTCACTTTCAAGGGAAGATGGCACATGTAACTTTGCATACACATTCCCTTCTGTGGGGGAGATGAATGCAGCTTGTGATGCTATTGAAGATTCCTCTCTAGGGATGTGATGGACTACTCAACTATCAGATAAGCAAATATTTATCCAATAGTCAACAGGCTAGTCACTCCTCCCCTGCCCTTGCTGCCTCTATCAGAGGCAGCAAGGGTGGGGGGAAGAGGAGGGGCAGACCCTGTGCTCCATGGATTGCTGCTGCTTTGAAATGCTGTGCAGCCCAGGGCTAGCTGGGGTGTCCCCAGGCTGCACATGGTGTTTCAAAGTGGCAGCACCTCATGGAGCCTGGGATAAGCGGGGAGTCCCCAGCTGATCCTGGGCTCCACATGGCGCTTTTGACTTTGAAGTATGGCAACACCCACAGGGCTGTTGGTACACTTCAAAGGTGGAGGCATTCTGTAGACTAATTGGATAGTTGATGGAAAATGCATTGACTATTCAATTAGTTAGATAGGCAATGCTTAATATCTTTATTCCTCTCACCTGTGTACTGAACAAGGTCCTGGAAGAACTTGTATAATGTGCGTGCACAACTTTTCAGTGCAACTTAAATGTTAGCTGTATTTGTAAAATCTTATACTAGTGAATCTTTTTTCTTTAGATATCACGCTTCAGTGGCTTATTCAACATTCAAAATCTAGAAGAAGCTGAAGTCTTCCTGGAATCTCTCATCTGGCCATAATCTCAGAAATGTCCACATCCTCCATAATGAATTACTACCCAATAGTCCTCTTGTATCCAAGAAATGGCCTTTTCCAGTTCATTTCTCATGTGCACTGCTGAAGACATCTATTCCTGTTCCTATCACAAAGAATCAATTAGAGTTGTCATGATAAAGTCAGCACAAAAGATTTATTTTACAGCCGTCTGAAGAATGTGTGTGTGGAGGGTCTTTTTAAATTATCTGTACCATATTAAATCAGAGTACCTTTCTGTTCTGGTCTTTCTGGGCCAGATTTTTATATTTGATTTTTCAGAAAATGTTGAAGTTTTTATTTTGTGTGTTCAGTGGCTTGAAGAAGCTGGCACTGCACAGCATCAAGATTCTAGTACCATATAAGGCATTTAGAAAACCTTTAAGCATGACATGTGAAATGCTAACTTATTTTTATCTCTCAAATGCAAGTGAGGTGTGTATTGAAAGATTTAGAAATGGAAACTGTCTGCATAGGGGAGCACTAGGTCAGCTTCACTAATTCTTCTACAGATGGGACTTTGTGGTCACTTTTTTTAGACATCACTTTTCGAATGAATTAGAAAAGCAAAATCTTATTTGTCCAGAACATTACTTGTATCGTCCTTTTTGTTTAGTGTTTTATGGGGATGGAAATGGAATATTTTACTAAAAGCTTACAACAGGTGGAGTATTCTAGCGGATGAAAGAATTTGCTACGAGCATCTCTTTGCCACAAATGCATTTTTCTATCTTCAGACGCTTAAATGATCTTTATCTGAAACATGAGAACAAATCTGAGCTGCTCTGTTAGTTTATTTTGGTAACCAGTCATACTGCAGACTTTCAGCACTGCACTTGTAATTTTCTAGTCAGTCTCTCTTGCTCATGGAATAGCTAGGCACGATTTCACCAGTGCTACAGAATATCTAGCTATTGTGACAACTCTAGACCTGCCTGCTTTCTCTGTGTAATCATGTGCAAAGTCTACAGGTTGTAAGTTGAAATGTTTTATTGTGTCTCAAAGCACAAGAGCCAATGAATTGATCCTGTTTCTTGATTAGCTTCTACAATATAGAGAAATATGTATAAACTAAAGATTGTAAGATGTCTTTGTAGCTATACTTTCTCAGTGACGTCAGTATATATTTAAAGGGACAGACTTGTCGGGACTGGTTTGTTCATATAGTAATGTTAATGTAGCCCACTGTATTGTATACAACTATTGTGTTGCCTCACACTGTGTGTGATTCTTTTAAGCAGCACCTAAACATAGATTCAGATGGTGCACTTTTGTCCATCACATAACTAAGACAAACCAGTTTTTAATTGCTATGGCCTTACTGCTCTGTACCAACTACTGCACTGTGCGCACACACTACATGTCTCCATTTACAAACCCAGCTTGTATTTAGTTGGTCATTTCATTCTCTGAAGCATGGTTTCAATTAATCCCATAGTAGTGTTGGTGCTGTGAAGGATATATTAACTTGCTACTGTAGTCACTAGTTCACTGTGAACTGCTACAGTTACTTTATTTAGCAACTTTGCTTGTGCCTAAAATAAGGAAACTGAGCTAGAATGTGTGACACTTTCTGTGGGGACCAGGTCACTCTTTAGTTAACTGGCCTATAGCTGAACTTGATGTGTTTGGTGTGTATCTACTTGACTGCTTTTAGAATTTATGGCATCCAAACACTACTACCAACTGTTAATCTGTGCATTAATCTCTGCATGTGAACAATTTATATAATTACTGGACTTTGTAAATAAGTGAATTTTTTTATTTAGGTGGATGCATATTGTTGGTTTACTGCTCTTCAGCTTTAGTCAATAAACTTACATTTTGAGGGTTGTATTGATGCTTACTTATGGACTCAATTTTGGCCTAATGCCTTTCTATAGGCCATGGCCAACTAACTCTTCTGACTTTTAAAATAAACGGAGTCAAATTATAATACTGATGGACAACATACAGTGTTGCGTGGAGCGAATGGCTAGCTCAGTGTGAAACTGGCCATGCTCAGATCTTGCTTGTACATTGAACTCCTCACTGCATACAAAAAACTAAAATGCACTATTATCTTAAAGTAACATCCAGTCTAGATTTCAAAATTGTCTGGAGAATCTTCCATGGCATTGGGTTAACTGCCCTCAATGTTAAATTCAGACTGGAAATAAGATGTAAATTTTTGTCTCCAACTTCTAGCCATTGGATTGTTACGTCTTTCTTTGCTACATTCAACATTTTTTCCTCATGTAGGTATTTAAAGCATCATCTAGTTGCCCCTTACATTTTCTTTGTTAAAGCTAAATATATTGATTTGGGGTTTTTCCAGTTCTTTAATCCTTCTCATGGCTCTTCTCTGAACTTTCGTCTGTTTATCAATATCCTTCCTAAATTGTGGCACCACGTTGCCAAATATAAAGGTGGTAGACTTTTTACTCCTACTCAAGATTAATCTGTTTTTGGTCATCCAAGGATGGCATTTAGCCCTTTTGGCCAGAATATTGGTGATTTGTCCTTCGTTATTTACCACTCCCCGTGTGTGTTTTTTCCCTTTTTCTGCAAAAGCTGATTTTTATTTTCTTCCAAGTAATGAATATCTATTTTAAATAGAGTGGGGCTGGAAATTGATCCCTGTGTGACTTCCCCTCTTCTGCCTGCTTCCCCCCCCAAAAAACAAAACAAACCCGCAGCCTTTGAATGGTTTCCTGTTTGCAATTACTCTATACCTATCCATTAGATGGCTTTTAATCCATTTGTGTAACATGTTAATAGTGTGTCTATCTTCTTTAGCAAAATGTCATGTATTACGAAGACAAATGCCTTATGGTTCTCTATTTAAATCAATGCTATTATCTGTATCTGCTAAACTTGTAATCTATCAAACTAGCTTTATATGATGTAGCTTCTGTAAACTCATGTTGACTAGCATTATTCACCCTCTTAACTTCTGTGTCAGGCACTATTTTGTTTGGAAGTGATGTCAGACTGATGGATTTATAACTGACCATGATGACCTGGGTTACCCTTTCTAAATTAGCACAATATTTTCTTCTGGAACTTCCCTGGTGTTCTGAGATGTTATAAACATTACTAGAAAGCTCAGCCCTTTCAAAACTCTTGGAGGTAAGTTATAAAGATTTGCTGATCTAAAGAATATTTATCTTCAATAGCTGCTGTTTAAATCAGCCTGTGGCATTAGTGGAATGAAACCAATGTTATGTGACTATCCTGGTCTTATTCCAGTTACAGAACCAATATTTGTAAAACACGTCTGCCTTTTAAGTTATCTCTAATTTGATCATTTCCATGTAACAGACTCGCTCATACCATAAGATTGTTTTTCTTATACTACCTGTTCATTGAACTGAACTTGGACCATAGACCATTATTGTGGCTATAAAATCTATACCCATGTCAATCGTCAATCTGCAAAAATGGTCCACTTACATCCTCATTAAGCAGATCTCTGGTTTTGCATGGCTCTAGCCATAGGTTTCTACTTGTCCTTTCTGTTTTTCCTTAGGATTGTTTTTAATTCCTAACTTTTGCTTTCTATTCTGAACTTTCCCTTTCTTCTACTTCTGTACAATTTAATAGTGGTCTTCTAAAGCAGGTCAGGTTTTTATCCAGTATGGTATTCTTTATTGTGACTTGTTAAACATTAGGTGTGCTTTAAACAATTCCTGATTATATTCACATTTTTGATCAAATTCTTTCTCCCACATGACTAGTCTCATTAACTTTCTAATTTGTGAAATTAGCCCTTACAAAGCACCAAATCTATGATCACTGGTCTGGACTTGATTCTGTTTGCACATTATAAATGTGGTGACTTGTGTCTAAGCTGCCCTTGCTACTACTTAGTTCTATGAGCCAATTATTCTCTGTCAAGACAAACCTAATACAGAATCCCAGTGTTAAATCCAACACTGAGTTAGGAAGTTGTCAACTATAGTACTGAATTCCAGACGCGTTTTACTACTGTCAGTATGTGATCTTGTGTAAAGCATATTGAAGTGTTCTCACTGCTTCCCACCCGCGTAAACATCAAAGATGTGGAAAGAACTGGTCCCCTTGTTTGCTAGTGTAGCTTGGTGGTCTGTAACAGATGCCATCTTGTACCTCCCTTTTACTTGTGTTAGACATTGATCTAGAAGCAGTCAAGATCAGTGACTCACAGAAAAACATTTTTGAGAATCTACTGCCATTCCATTTTCGTTTTTGCAGTCGTTTCTACACCAGTTACATTAAAATCATGGTAATCATCCTACAGTTTTTTCAAAAATACCAATTTATGCTCCTAAATGAACAATTCTGATTCTTGGTGTTTTACCCCAGCTCCTACCATTGATGTACAGACAATTAAATAACTTATCTTAATTTTGTTAACATCTTCATTCTGTGTGGAGTGGTCATATCTTCCCTCTTCACCCTTCCTTTTTGTGGTGTTTAACACCCTCTTGACTACTGTAGTCAGCCTGCTGAGGTAGAGGCCATCCAAACTATACAGTTCCACTCACCACAAAAATAAAACGGTATATAATTTACCTAATCAGCCGTCTGCTTCCCGAGTCTTCAGTTTTCTCTGACTGTGGACAGGAACAATTTCTGTCCAAACAATCTTCCCTGAGCACGTGTCTGAAATAAGCTATGATGGTGTCACTAGTCTATATGAATGGGTACCCAATGGAGCCTTTCCTGTTAACACTAGACAGGTTTTTGAAGTTGTGACCTCTTGTGTCCATAGAGCTTGTTGCCCAATATTTCTGCATATGTTCAAGTCCCTCCACAAGAGCTGAGGAAGGAACCCTCCAAACAAGTCATTTGGAGCAGGCATAATGCTCAACCAATCTAAAAATGTAAGAATTTTGGTACCTTTGGGAATTGCTTGTGCTGTGGCCCTGTGTGCATCTTGCCCTTTCTTTCAGTCTTCTGTAGAAGGGCAAATTAGTTTTTCATTACCCCCCCATCAACTAATGTGATTGGCCTGTATTACTTAAACCATCTTGTTAGTCATTAAAGTGCTACACAGTCCTATTTTTTGTTTCAGCTGCACCAGACTAACATGGCTACATTTCTACCACTACCTGCATTACTTTAGGCATCTTTATCAAGTGGAATAGGGTCAAGTTGTTAACTTCTTGGGGGGGCAGGACTCCCACTGTAAGACCACTTTATGCCACCTTTTATACCTGCTTGCTCTAAATTAAGGGAATGGGTTCTGTGAGTACTTAATTAGTTGCAACCATGCAATCTTGGTCCTAGTTATCACACTTTCAGAGCTGTCCAGTTGAGCACTTAGATATAAAGCTGTCAATTGTAGGGGAGGGGAAGCATTTGTATTATGAGCCATGTGAGTGCTATTGCTGCATTGCTGGTAGGTGTTGTATGGTAAGTTTTCTTAAGGATGTTAAATGGCATTTAATCAGCTAATTGACTAATGGATGAATGGTTGGAGGGGAGGGGAGAAGAGCTGCAGCAGGGTTAGCTCCAGGCCCCAGGAGTTAACCTGTCTGCAACTCTGCCTTTTAAACATTTTAAGAGACACCAGGCTCTTCATAAATTTAAAAGGCTGAAGCGCAGCAGCAGGGACCAGGCATGAGCCAGAAATTGACTGATGCCTGGTTTATACCCAGTGCTCTCCCCGCAATGGAGACAGTGCTGGGGGCAGAACCAGCTTTTAAGCCAGCTCTTCCCAGCACCAGCTCCCCCCCGCCTTTTTTTTTTTTTTCTTCAATAGAGGCAGGGAGGTGGAGAGTAACTAGTCAAATCATTAGTTGACTATCAGATAAGCATATACTTATCTGATAGTTGGCTAGTCACTTGCATCCCTACTTCTTAATGGCTTAGTGAAAGCTGCTTGTCCTTCTTTGAGTGCTTGCTCGTCCATTCTGATTAGGTGTACGCGTGCCGCGTGCACAGATTCTGGAGCTTTTTTCCCTTAGCAGTATCCATAGGGCCAGCAGGGAGCCCCCTGGAGTGGTGCTGGTATACTGGTGCATATATACCCCTGCTGGCCCTCCCACCCCTCAGTTCCTTCTTACCGCTTGTGATGGTAGCTGGAGCATGCTTCAGGCTGATAGCCATCTCTTAGCAGCTTATTTCTTATCTGTTGTATTATAGTTCTAGTTGAAGTTAAGTAGTTAAGTGCTGTAAATATTTAGTTAAGGGAGCAGTGGAACCCTCCCGTGGGGGGGGGGCATGCCAGGGCCCCAGGGCTTTAAACCCTGTGCTTCCTGCTCCAAACCTATGCCTGGCGGAGATCCCCACTCCGACTGCTTAAAGTGTCTGGGTGAGGCCCATCGAGCTGAAAGCTGCTCTATCTGTAAGAGCTTTAAGCCCCGGACCAAGAAGAAGGACTCCCGGCTGGAACTCCTGCTAATGGAGTCGGTACTGCAGCCTCAGAGGGAGGAGTGGCCTCACTCTGCCTGCAGCGCACCGTTGGCGGCACCCCCGTCGGACAACAAGGCACAGATCGCAGTCACCGGTGCCGAGGGCCTCCAAGAGCTCGAGGGGATGCTCGGCAGAGAAGAGTGCCCAGATGGAGGGGCACCTGTCTTCTAAGTCCTCCAAAAAGAGGCGCAGCCCGGGCAAGGGCCCAGGGCAGCCCGTGGGGCTAGGAGAGGTCCGTCGGCCCTCCACCCCAGAAACTTTTGAGGCAGCCCGGGACCTCATTCACATGGCTGTGGATGAAGGGGAGGGCCCAGTGCCGCAGGAGCGGACTGCGCCGGCACCGGCCTCAAGTGCCCCCCAGCAGGCTATGGCCGGGTCGTGGGACCCTCTGGGCGAAGGGCAGGCCTCGGCCCAGCAGCAGTTTTTCCCGGTGCCAGGAAGAACACCAGCACCGGAGCCGGGACGAACGCCAGCACCGACCCTGGGCCCCTTCCCGGCGGCACCGGCAGCAGCACCAGGAGCGAGTGCGCTTGCAGCGCTGACGGCACCGGTGCAGGGTCCGGTGCCGCAGACGGTCCCTTGGGCGGTGCAGGGCCCCGCACCATATTACGCACCGCCTGCGGTGCCGCACCCCCGACCCTGGGCCCCTTCCCGACGGCACCAGGAGCGAGTGCGCTTGCGGCGCCGACTGCACCAGTGCAGGGTCTGGTGCCGCAGATGGCCCCCTGGGCGGTGCAGGGCCCTGCACCGTACTATGTGCCACCTGCGGTGCCACAGCAGGCACCCCGCACGGCACCGACGCTGATGCCTCTCCCGGCACGGATCCCTGCTTACTCCTTGAGCGCAGCAGCAGGGCGCAGCGCCGCTGCACATGACGGCACCGGAGGGTTATGTACCGGCCTATCAGATGCAGCTGGACACGGTACCGCCGCAGCAAAGGCCTCCACTCATGCCCCCACCAGCACCGCGTGCGGTGCACAGGGGCAAGCCATCGGCCATGGCAGCCCAGCGAAGGGTGCAGGCTTCATCGGCCCCTCCCTGGTCAGCATCAGAGTACTCTTCGGAGTCGGAGGCCGAGTCGGTGGCATCGGCCAGGTCTTCATATAGGTCACGGCCCCGTCGTAGGTCTCGCTCATCGGTCAGATCATCTCAGCAGTGGCAGGGGGGACACCCCCGG